CAGTTGACCTGGGTTTGATTCCCAGCCGATGCAATGTGGGGCTGTAGCAGCATGGCACTTTGCAGAGCTTTTACTTTAACCCTGAAAAAACAGGCACAAGTGGGTACTGCTGCCTCTCACGGCCTTTATTCCTCTCCAAGAGGCAGGAAGTGCTTGATCTTAGCCAAACAGCGGAGAAGCAACGCTGTAAGGCAAGAAACGCAAGGACAGTTCTTGGTTCAGCTCCTGGGGCTATCCTGAGTGTCTGGCAGCCCCTTCCCCTCCTCTCCCTTTGCTGCTCTTGAACTTAGCTCAGCAGCTGAGAATCTGCACTCACACACCCAGACACCTCTGTGACTCCTCTCCCCCCAGCTTCTTTGTGAACCCTCACTCAAGGGTTTCTAGGTGGGAGCTTCTAGGAACTGGCATTCCCATCTGTAGGGTGGGTCTGGGAGCCCCCAGCCTTTGGATCCATGTGAGACGTGATCCCAGGGGAACCATCTCCTGGAGCTTCTCCTTGTCCCATGGAGCTCAGGGCAGGGGGACCCAGAGCCGGGGTCTGTACGATGCCAACGTGTGTAACACATGGCAACGTTTTTCCTTCCTCTGCCGGAGAGGGAGCCAGATAGTTCCCTTGAGACCACATACAGATGGGGCAGGGTCTGGAGAGGTGAAGCCACTGAATGGAAAAAGCCAGGAGAGCAGAGTATCAGCTACCATCTGAGATACCCAAACATGTGGCAGTGTGATGGTCCCATGGGCTACGTCTAGACTGGCATGATTTTAACGGAAAAGTTTTCCGTTAAAAGCATTTTCGGAAAAGCACGTCTAGATTGGCACGGACGCTTTTCCGCAAAGGCACTTTTTGCGGAAAAGCGTTCATGGCCAAGCTAGACACACTTTTGCACAAAAAAGCCCCAATCACCATTTTCGCGATCGGGGCTTTTTTGCGCAAAACAAATCTTAGCTGTCTACACTGGCCCTTTTGTGCAAAAGTTTTGCGCAAAAGGGACTTTTTCCCGAACGGAAGTAGCATAGTATTTCTGCAAAAAGCACTGATTTCTTAAAGTAGGAAGTCAGTGCTTTTGCGGAAATTCAAGTGGCCAG